GAGGGGGAGGAGCCTCTCGGCCTAAGGGAAAGGACCCTGTCGGTGCCTTGTGTAAGCGGCTGCGACCCCGCCGCGGCAACTCTGCCTGGCGCGCGCCCCGTGCAGCCACCGTCACTGTTGCAGGCGACCCCGAGGAGTCCGTGCCTCCCTTCCTCAGATGCCTGTGATTCCAGAAACTAGTAGGGGGAGGTCTTGCGCCTGTGACTAGTTTTTAATTTTTCCGTCGACGACCTACTTGTAGATTGTTTTATATCGTAATGTAGTACAACTGAAAGAAGTTTCCAGAACTGTGCCTTTGTTATATAATATACTCCAACATATTACGTTTCCTTTATAAACAAGCTGGCGGCAGCCCGCTGCATTAGCTGCACTGTCCACTAATGGCCGCCTCATTTTGACAATTGAAGGAAGTCCGGAGAAAACCGCTCGGTTCAGTCAGTGCAAATGAACAGCCGACGTCTGCTCTCTGGGCTCAATGCAAAGCCAGCCCTTCCACAGTCAAGTTTCTGCCCCAGAGCCAACATCAAAGTCAGCTGATTCCACTCTATTTTTCGAGGACCCCCTCCCTCTGTGTGTTCAAGTTCTGACCACCAGGAGCAAGGCAAAGAAAGATCAAAACTAGGACAGAGAAGAAATTCACAAACTATAAAAACAAGGAACCCACAACTCTGATTGCTTAAAGTGACTCAGATATTACCTAAAAGAAGCAAGCTTAAGTTTAGCATTAAGTTATCAATAATACTACAGTACCAAAAGCTTTAAGCAAATAATGTTTATTTTTATATTGATGATACACTTAATATATACGTGGATTCAAGATACAAAATTGATTTACAAGAATTCACACCTGATGAATGTAGACACATTCCTAGAGAACATTTATCAATGCAAAAATTATTTAATACACTTAGAACAAAAATCAAAATACTCTGTAATCTTGTTGCTCAATAAACAGCAAAACAACTTTCCATCCTCTAATATTTAAGTGCCCTCAAGGTTGAAGGCACTTTAAACAGAAAACATTGGAAAGTCTTAATGAATTTGCTCTGCAGAATCACAGTGTTTACTCTGAAATTCATTTAGTGAAGTAGTGAAAGGCTATCTTTTATGACAAATCACATATCATACAAGTGTCAAAAGTGATTTAAAAAAAAGTTCCCAGAACATCTCAATTTCTAAAATCTATGAAATATCAACCATAACAGACAAGGCAGAAAAAAGGCTGTTGGAAAGGAACAAAACAAAAAACATCCTTGTATAATAGAACATATGGCTTAGCAATTTAGAAACACAACAGACAAGACTTTTACACCACAAGTGCCCAAGTCAATTGATATTGACAATATAATTTCCCCCCTTAGTCACTGGTAATATTAAATAGTACCTTCAAATTTTATTCTACTGATAACACATATAAAAACTAATCCAAACGGTTTGCTGTCTAACAGGGCTGAGCTGATGGATTTTGTTTTAAAGTATTAACCCACAATACTCAAAATTTTAATACAAACGAATAACTAGACTATGTCTCAAGGATTACAGTGATTTGTAAATAGCTATATAGGAAACCAATTAATTTTATTTGCACAACAGATTAGCAGCACTTGGATAAGAACTTACATGATTATTATTGTGCTTCAATCTCTGGAGAGCTAATAAATATAACTCTATAATCCCTATAGTGTTACAGTTCTATAGCATTTCAGTTACAGACAAGCACAATTTTTAAAAAAGTATTTCACACCACTAAAAAATCAATTATATCCTCCAAATGTAATTTCTGCTATGACTTAAATGCATTTCTGCCTAATATTTATTATGTAGACCACAGGATCATCATTTTCAGAGAAAAAAGATCAAACATAACTTACTTTATTACCTTATTACCTTTAGTGATTTCAACAAAAGACATTCAATCTTTACAGTGGAAACTACTCAGGATAAATTAACCTGAAACTGCAATCATCTTTAAATTAAAAAAAGTTTATAATCGGATTCAATGTTTAATGAAACCACTATTTATACTGGTGCTACACAATGAAGATACCTTACTTGGGTAAATTAATTTGTAAGCACTTCTGTACCTTTCCTGTTCTCTAGGTCTTTCTACTTCAACTGGAAGAATCCTCAAAAATATAAGACTGTGATTGTTGAACAGCATATTTATTAAAAATGAAGTTTAAAAACTAAAACAAACAAAAAAATGAACTAGCCATATAGTTTATGTGGCAAAAGGAATACATTCAGATAACTATAAAAAGCCACAAAAATCAAATTGTAAATTATTTTACTGAATTGTTAGAAGGCCTTTTTAATGATGCTATAATTGTTTAAAAAATTCATTAGCAAATTGTAATAAAAATTCTTACTGTGCTAAAACACAACACAATTTTTTTCCTGCAGATTTTTAATACATCAGCATACATACTTTTAATTTAGAGGAAAAAAAACAATAACATGCAAAGAAGGGTGGAAGTAAGATATTTAAAAATAAGTTATTTCTGTATAATTCAAAAATATTTATTTTGGTATTATATATGGTCATCTCACATTGTACAATGTTTATTCATACTTGATATTTAAGCAAGTTTTATTCAAATTGTAATGTTTATGGATTTCAATTTTCAATCATGGATAAGCAGACAACAGTTTGAAAACAGAAACGAATACTAGTGATATAACATCAAAATCGAAATATCATTTACTGCAGACCTATAATAAATATCTGAAACCTAAAACCACTTATGTCTCAGTGAATAATATTACATCTAAAATGATGATTGTCTTAAGGTACAGACTGAAAATGTCCACCAAAGTAGGAAAAATATTATCAATTTACAGTCTGTTCTATGACTAAATTCGGACTTCATTAAGTGAATCTGTAGTGTGCAATATAATGTACTTTAAACTATTAAAATAACTCTTAATTTACTGTTCAAATATGTTTAAAAATAACTGCTTAGTCTAATAACTAATTTTAAAAATAATTTTAAAACCACAAAAGAAATTAACAAAAATATTTTAATATTAGGAAATGGTGCTTTGATCACTGATTAACATTGTTATGTAAAAATGGAATTCGTCTCAAAAATTAATTATTACACCAAACCAACAAATGAAAAATACCAATTTGGTTTAAGAAAAACATTTACACAATCCCAAGGGAAGTATTTCTATGAAACCAACAAATTAGTTATACTTAAATAAATTTATCTTTACCCAATTAAGGGCATATCACCCTACATCATCCTGACACCCTTCTGTCAACAGGTGATTGATCCCATTCACGCATCAATTATTTTTCTTTAAATGCAAGGCATGCTTATATTTCCATGTTTAAAACTCAAGTGAAGCTAAGACATAGTGTAATATGTTCTGAAATTCTAGTTTGAGAAAGATGAATTTTTTTTAAGTGGTTACAGTATTCAGGAAAAAATGGGAAGTACCGCACAGTTATAAAGTATCAATGTATGAGAGCAGAAGAATAGAGGGAAAAGGCCTGGTTCTCTAAGCAAGCTAGTACCTTTACAGTGTTAGGGTCAGACCAAATGTTCACCATGTCATTCTTATCTTCTGTGCTTTTCATTGCTCTTACTCTCCTCAAATTAATATCCATAGTGGGCCTGAGTCAATTTCATGAATTTAAAAGAGCATATTAAAAAAAAAGTGTGTGATTTAAATAAAGATCATTTCTGCTAATTTCATAAGTCGTACCTAAACTTTATAGAAGAGATACCAAAATGAAAAAAAAAAAAAGCATATTATCTCCCCTCTGCTACTCTTCAATTGCAAAAAAATGATGTGATTCTAACAAACATTAGTACCTATGGATATTTTCACTAAATTTTCAGAAATAAAATTTTAATATTTATTCAAGAAAAAGGCTATTATAATTGTATTTTAAATTTAATACTAAAATCAGAAAGTGTTATAGTTGGTTCTATTATTTAAAATACAACAAAGAGGCAAATGTAACATTTTGAGGACGATAAGACTGATTCCTGAACTAAATTATTTCAAAATCAGATAGATCTAAGATATTTTATCATGCAAAAATAAGTGCCACTTAATTTCTGCAGTGAACGTATTTAATTGTATACGTATTTAATTGTATGTTAATCATCTCT